TGTTCCTCCAGCTTCACACTGTGTTATCTCTGACTCCAGCATCAGCAGTTCTTGCTTCTCTCTGGTTGTTTTTTGACCTGTGAGACTCGATGGGCCGAAGGATCTTTTTCGATGCAGTAGGCCTCTATGATCATGACGTTGTAAATCCCCAGGCCAGTTCCCAACACTTCCCTCCTTAGTATTTCACCATTCGATTTTAAAGCTGGATTGCTGGTGAGAGATCTGTCAGCTCCATTTTCTGTTTGCAACTTTGTCATCTGGGCTGATCAATGTAATTCCCATTTCTGATGAAGGGTCCAGGCCCGAAACGTCAGCCTTCCTGCTCCTCTGATGCTGCTTGGCCTGCTGTGTTCATCCAGCTCTACACCTTGTTATCTCAGATCAATGTAAGTGTTAGTTTTGAACCCACCACGGGCAAAATACAGGGGCGATCAAAAGATATCTCCCATCTGTAGATTCTCAGAAGTTGTGAGGTTTATGGTTTTGCTTCTGAATATTGCCCTTTTAAACATATATTAATACAAATTGATTAAAACATAATGATTGTAACAAAGAGAGATTAAAAAAAGATAATGCCAGCCGGGTTTTTCCCTAGCACGAACTGTGCTGTATTGGTTAAGAGCTTCAGGTCATACTGGGCAGTTGCGCATTAATGATTGATTTGACTGGTTAACCCTGTTCCAGGTTTTCATGCCTGCTGGCTGTGTGGAGCAACCTCTATAGTCCACTTCAGACAGAGTGAAATACTACAATTCCCGAGCATCTCCCCGTCCGCTGCAAAGCTACGTGACCCACTGAGTGGAGTTGAAAAGGCAGAAGTTTCACCCCAGTCGTTCCAGCGTTGAGGGCTTCTCGATGACGGAGAACATGTCAGGAGCGGCAACAAGTAAGTTATTACAGGGCGAGAGACATTAATGTTATTGTTAATGTTAATGGTGTTGCTCGCTACTTTTGTTTTGCAACTTCCAAATCCGTTCCACAAACTTGTTGCCGTTGTTTGAGGGATCTGGCTACTGTCAGTCAGATACAGGCTTTAAACCTGCCTAATCATTTGATTTCAAGGTCTCTGCAAGTATATTTGCGAAGTCGTTAATTAGCAATCGTGATGTTAAACCGAGTTCGTCCGTCCTTTCGCTTTTAAAAGAATCTTGTCTGTTTATTTGCGGGATTAATTTTATAGTTTACTGTAAATGCTGTCGCACTTTAGAAATCGCCTTGTTGCACAGAGCATTTCTCAAAAATGATTTGTTTTGTGGCAAATAATAAGTGCTTCAGTGAATCTGTTTAAGGAAAACTATTCTTTTCAGTGGGTTTCTCGCGCCCTCCTGAAACGTAGCATCCTAGAATTCTAAAACATAGTTTTGGCTTTGGCAGTATCTTGTCTAAAAAGTTCTAGAAGTGATTCTCCTCATACCTTGTTACCAAGAAGATTAATCTTGAATTCAGTTTTGCCATTGAGAAATTTGTTGAAGTGAGAATCTGAACATTTTGAGGTTGAATGCATGTATTTTTTCCCCACAGTTAATATAGTGGATACAGTACGTACTAAGTTATGATGGATTACTGCTTGATTACAGTACCATGCTTGGTAATTTAGCTAACAAATTGTCACTGGACTCGAAATATTAACTCTGTTTTTGTTCCACAGATGCTGCCGGACCTGCTGAGTTTCTCCAGCAATTTCTGTCTTTGTTCAGATTTCCAGCATCCGCAATTCTTTATTTGTATGGTGGATATGTTCGCAAGCTCTCCCATCCATTTGCAACCCCCAACCATTCCCCTGCACTACATGTATAAGGTACAAGTAGGTTTCTTTGTCACAAAGTTTGAAATTATTTGTTCAACTAACAGCTGTGCCACACTTTCCCCCAATGTACACTCAAACGCCCATGTACCTAACTCTGAATCTCTGTTTAGCTTCTCTCCTATTTCCCCCTCACACCCTCTCTGGCCTTAATGAATTTACAAGACCAACATCATTCTCTTTTCACTCCAAATGTTGACCATCCAACTACCACTCCTGACTCTCATGCTCCCATGACATTGTAAATGCCCCCTCGTATCAAGGGACCCTCCACCCCCAACTCTCATTCAAAATGAACACTATCACCACCTTCCCCCTTCTTCCAATCTCCATTCTTCAACCTGTTGCCATTTTTCAAATTTGTTCCTGCATTTCCCAGAACTCTGTGTTTGAATATGCAATCGAGGTTCCGCCCCCGTCAACATGTGGATTTAGCCTGATTCAAAATCATTCACATCTTCTGTGACCAAGTTGCAGAAGCCCTTTTCAATCTCACTGGCCTCTCTGCAGACATTAGCAGAGTTGACCATGCCATCCTTCACTAATCCTTCTCCCATATCATTCAGCTGAGTAGGATTGTTCTCATTTGATTCCAGAGTCACATCAAGACCATCCACAGCAATGGTTTCCCATCCCATTCTCTGCACCATTCCATCTGACATCTGCCAAGGACTTATCTGGATTACCGCCCCCCCTGCCCAATCCCTGGCTCCTTCATCATGTCCGCATCCATCTCCTCACGACCTTTAAGTACTTGACCTTAAACTAATCTTCCCAAAAAATGTAACTTAAACCAAAAATACTGGAAATATTCAGCAGACCAAGCAGTATTTGTGGAGAAATCAACAGGATTAAGTTTTCAGGCAAATTATCGTGAAAGATCTTCCAGAATCCACAGAAGTTTGCTTAAACCCTTAGAAAGTTCAACACAAGATGTGCCTGCTTCAGCCTCCGTAATGTCTTTCATCACTGCATTTACCTCTGCCCAGCTTCCATTTAAAGCTTCAGTCTTGCCTTTTTTTACCTATAGTCTTGACTATTCCAATGCATTCTCAGCTGATTTCCAACCTTCAAACTTCCTCAAATTTAAGCTCATCAAAAACTCTTGCCACATTCTCATTCACCTGGTATCCCTGTGCTGCTGATCTAAGTTCAGATTGGTATCCGAACACCTCCAGTTAAAAATTATTATCAACTCATAACCTCACCACACCTCTCCTCTAGCCCGACTACTTGCTGAAAACTCTGCATATCTCCAATATTGCTCTCCTGTATCTTCCCTGGCTTCCTTCATCCAGTCCGTCAGCCAATCATAGGACTTTATCAATTGTAAAAAGGAGTTAGTGCCCCTTTCTTGGGGCACAACTGATAAACCGGAGCGCAGATAAAATCTATAATAGGAAACTTAACAAATCCCAATTGAAACCATATTCCCAAGGATAATGATACAATCCAATCCCTCTAGTGCCAACAGTCCTGGAAGGCTGAGGCATACTGGAGGACACCATAAAGAAGAAGAAACATAGAAGTTAGGAGCAGGAGAAGGCCATTCAGCCCTTCTAGCCTCCTCTGCCATTCATCACGAACATAGTCGATTGTCCAATTTAGTAGCCTAAACCTGCTTTCTCCCCATAACCTTTGATCCCATTCGCCCCAAGTGCTATATCTAGCCACCTCTTGAATACATTCAATGTTTTCACAGCAACTACTTCCTGTGGTAATGAATTCACAGGCTCACCACTCTTTGGGTGAAGAAACGTCTCCTTATCTCCGTCCTAAATGGTCTAACCCGAATCCTCAGACTGTGACCCCTGGTTCTGGACACACACTATCGGGAACATCCTCCCTGCATCTACCCTGTCCAGTCCTGTTAGAATTTTATAAGTCTCTATGAATTGACCCCTCATTTGTCTGAACTCCAGCGAAAGCAATCCTAACCGAGTCAATCTCTCCTCATACGTTAGTCCCATTGTCCCTGGAATCAGCCTGGTAAACCTTCACTGCACTCCCTCGAGAGCAAGAGCATGCTTCCTCAGAAAAGGAGGTGTAACTTCACCAAGGCCCTGTATAACCGCAACAACACATCTCTGCTCCTGTACTTGAAATGAAGACCAACATCCCGTTTGCCTTCTTTACTGCCTGCTGCACCACATGTTACTGTATTGGGACATCTATAACTGTAGAAAACAGGCAAGCAATCAGACCAGACCACTTCCTTTACTGCAGCTGGACCTTCTGATGCACCTTGGCCAGGTCCAGAAGCATTGCCTTCAGGTGTCTAGGCCCTAGAGTCTGGAATTCCCTTCAGCCGCGACCTCTCTATCTCTTTTTCTTTCTGTAAGACCTTCCTTTCAAACCTATTTGCTTATCTAAGTGTTTAGTCTCCCTTTCTAATATCCCCATTATAAGTTTGGTGTCATTTTTTGGGCTGGTTATGCCAGTTCAGTGAATCTTCTTGTGTATTTATTTATCTTGATTCTATAAATAACAGGCCTTTAAATGTACATTTAAATTGTCTTCCCTATACACTTCAATGTTCTTCTTATCTAATATGAACCTCTGTGCCAAGGTATGAAACAAAGGGCGTTCTTTGCAATTATTATGAAGGTGCATAATATGTTATAATTAGGTTTGGAAGTTCATGCAAAATGATTTTTCAGAGTTTTGAAAATTCATCATTTAAAAAGTCATTCTGAACTTTGAGTTCAAAGCAGCATTCATGAGAAATGATGTTTTTAGTTCAATGAACACAAGCTACGTGGGGAGATAATTAAAAACCGAAAGAACTGTGTGTCTGTCTGTGTGTGTGTCTGTGTGTGTGTCTGTGTGTGTGTCTGTGTGTGTGTCTGTGTGTGTGTCTGTGTGTAGATACTTTTTCTGCTGTTTGCTGACTTCAGTATTATGAACACCAGAGAGAAAGAGAAGGAACCAGAAACAGGTTCCTGCAGAGGTGCAGTTACTGGCAGTATACAAGCACTCGGAGCTGGGGAGAGGGCCTATAACGCTTAGAAGTCAATATGAAGAAAGCTGCAGTAATGGATGGCTGTTGGGCTGTAAGAGAGGAAGCCATCTCCAAGGCTAGAGGACATATTTTTACTTAACGTTGTTTCCGTAAACATAAATTGAGTTAGCCGTTGTTTTTTCTGGGAGAGACCATTACAACTGTGCCAGCTGAGTAAGGAACTTTAGCTTGTAGGTCAGAGCAACCCCTCAGTGAGGTTTGAATGTCTGTAAGCATGTTGTTGAGATAAAGGGATGAATCTTTCTTGCTGAATTCTGTGATAATGCTAATAGTTCTTGTCTGGTGTAAAATAGTTCGCCTTTTTCTCATGTAATAAACTTTTGTGTTCTTTTGTTAAAAATCCATTGACAGCCTCTTGTTAATTAGTTGGATGACTGAGCTCCACAGTAAACTGAAAGAAAAGGAAAATTTGTGGTTTATCAAGTCACATTTCAGATCTGGGATCTGACTTGCCCAATCAGCTAGCATCATAAAATAATGTATATAGTAAAGTAGTAAAATTTACTATGACCCTTCACAAAGTTGTATTGGATTAAAAAATATGGCACCGAGCCAAAGAAGGAGGTTTCAGAACAGATAACCGAAAGCTTGGTCAAAAAGCGAAGCTTCAGAAGGAGGAAGAATCGAGAACTTTCAATGAGGGCATTCCAAAAACTAGGGCCCAGACAATTGGCAATAGGTGACCAGTGGTAGGTCAAAGTACATGAATGGCCAGATTGGAGGATTGCAGAGTTCTCAGATAGTTGTAGGCCAGGGAGAGGTCACAGAAATAGGAAAAGGAGAAGCTTGAAGCGATTTAACTGCAAGGATGAAAATCTTTAAAACCTTATGAATTGTGAACCGATGTGTTAGTTGATTGCAGGAGTGAAGATTTCAAGCTACAATACTAGTAATTAACTGTTAATAACTAACCTTTGAATGACCTTACTTAATGTCAGTTAAGCTTTACTACTTGAAAGGAATGCACAGGCACACTTTAGTATTACTGCCGTTTATATAACTTAACAATACTGTTGATATTAAATGGTATATCTGCCAATAGTGTGAGCTGCACTGTAGTAAACTCACTTGTCAAATAAATGTAAATAGCATGCACAGATGTGATGCAATTTTAACATGTTGGCTTCTTCTGACGTGCTGTCCAAAACTAAACATTTCCACGGGTGATAGGCCAAACAGCAATTGACCTCTTATTGACTCGAGCCTGTGTCTAATTTATGGCCTTAAAGGAAGATAACCCCATTTTGGCAGAACAATAAGTGCACAACAAATGGTGTAATACTCCAGTCCTTGTTTAAAAAAGAAATATAATTTGACATGCCAGAAACAACCTGTAGACTCATTAAAAATAAGGCAGAATTTTCAGATTGTAAAGGTGCAAAAAGTCCGTCTGTGAATGGACCTGATGTGCGCTTCTGTAGTCTGCAGATCAATACCAGGCTGATAGTGACTGAGTTATTTATTAATGACTGTTTGCTGTTCTGCGTTTTATTCCTAGAATTCCGTCTGGCACTTATTCAACTCACGGTGTCCCCTTTGAAAGCCAGTAATCTCAGCAAAGTCCGAACGTTGGTGAAGGAAGCAGTGTTGAAGGGGGCGAAGGTTGTAGCACTCCCTGTAAGTAAAACATTCAGCAATAAAATCAAAATAGCCGCTTATCTTGCTTGTTGCACAGTTTAACTCTTCCAGTTACCATCAAAACCTCAGAGTAAAGCCTTTTCAGTTGAGATGGCTTTGAAAAGCAGAACAGGCCTGAGGTAATGTAGAACTAATGCTTGTTCTTATTTATTTTATTCATAGACAAAGCAGCTATTACTAAAACAAAAAAAAACAAAATAATTGCAGATGCTCAAAAGCAGGAATTAGTGGAAAAACTCAGGTTCTGGCAGCATCTGTTTTTATTTATTTCAGTACTAAGGCAACAAGGATTCAGAATGGTGTACAGTAGTTTTGGAACAGAGTTTGGGGACAGATTGTGTTTAACGCACTGAATACCTTGACTGGCCAGCATGACAATGCAGTGGAGATAGAACAATACAGATATTGAGAATGCCATTCTCTGCTGCATTAAACAATGAGGGTCACAGATGGACTTTAATGAGCCAAATAGCCATTTCTCATCTTAGTAAAAATGAAAGAAAAAATCATATGGAAAACACCTTTTGGGGTATAAAAGGTATAATACTATCAAAGAATTCAAAGGGTACTTCTAAACGGAGCCTTTCTTTTTGTGCATTGTAACACAGTTCAGACTCTTCCATTGTGATATAGACCTGAATGTGGCCTTTTTTTTTATGAAGTGCTCTGCAGTGACCCTGAACAAAATTCAGGCAGTGCTTGTATCAAATATTGGATGTTTTCATTTTTCTGCATATCTGCTTTAAAGACTTAATGTATCTTAAACCACAGGAATGTTACAATTCTCCATATGGAACAAATTATTTCCCAGAGTATGCAGAAAAAATCCCAGGCGAGTCAACCCAAATGTTATCTGAAGTAGCAAAGGAGCATGGGATTCACCTTATTGGAGGTGAGTATGGCTTATCAATTGGAAGATTTAATGCAATGGGAAGAAACCAATGGTTTTAATGCTGTTTTCTATCTCTCAAAGCAACTTCTTATTCAATAATTACTGACTGGAATTTACACATTAGAACGCAAGGTATAATTCTAATCTAAACTGCAATAGAATGTATAATTGAGCAGGTAAATATGGCTATTACTGGGTGCAAGAGATTAAAATTCTGTTGTGAAATTTGAAAATGGGTGCAGAATGAGAAATAACGATATAGAATTTATACGGTCAGCAAATAAATTCTAATCAGAGGCACATCACCAGTGAAAATCGTAGTTTTACAGTCATGTATACTGAAGAGCTGTTTTCACTCCAGCTGTATGTGAGCTACACATAGACTATACATCATACTGTTACCTGCGTCTAGATTCCAGATATATTTAAGTGTAGTATTCAAGAGATATCAATATTTTCCTTTGGATGATTATGTAATGTTGCTTGAGTTATTGGCAATAGTATTGGAGGGAAGCTGTAGTCCACCGCTTGAGCATATAATGTGCCAGTTTTCTTCTTTTTCTGCACCCCTCCCTCCAAAACAAGGATACCGTGTATTTTGATAACAGTGTGGAGCTGAAGGAACACAGCAGGCCTGGCAGCATCAGAGGAGCAGGAAAGTTGACGTTTCGGGTCGGGACTCTTCTGCCCACTTTGTGCGCTGGTCACCTGCTACCATTTATCCTCTGGGATTCATGTGTCCATCTCCACCTCTGAACTTGCAAGCCCACCCATGAGGGGGGCATTTAATTCTGTTGTTAAATTGAGCACGGCAGCTCAAGAGGACATACAAAAATGTATAGCACAATTTGAAATAGAACAGGGAGTGTTCTCCCAGAGTGCAGCATCACCACACAACTCCAGAATGTCATGTCATTCTTTCCTTTCGCAGCCTGTGAGACACTTGTTAACATGACAACAGCCACCTTGCTAGGGGATAAAGTACTTTGGGATATCTTGAAGATATCAGTGCCTTATATAATCACACGCTCTATTATTCACATCTTTAACCAATGATACCAGTTTTAATATAAAACACCAAGAATAAAAAAGATGTTGGGCAGAGTGTTATTTTAATTTTGTATTTGTGAAATTGGTTGATGGATTTGAAATAATATTTTGCTTACGGTAGCTGGAGTATAAATAGTTGCTTGTGCTTTTACAGGTTCCATTCCAGAGGAAGATGGTGGGAAGTTTTACAACACCTGCACAGTGTTTGCACCAAATGGATCCATGTTGTTGAAATACAGAAAGGTTTAAACTTTTTATTATGAAGCAGTCTCTGAGTCGTGCAGTGGGTTAGAAGAACATTTTGTACTTTAGCCTAAGCTGATAAGAGGAATGCCCCGTTTCTGTCTGAATGCCCAAAATAAAACAGTAGTTTCTTACTAGTTTGAATGTGATATCAGACAATAAGAGCTGCTAGGATCTCAAGTGATGTTATTACCAGACAAGTCAGATCCCAGACAGAAACCTGGCTTGATAGATCATATTTTGTTTTGTTTTTAACAAAGTGGTCTCTCGCTGAAAACGAACTGTTTTAAAAGAATTCATCATAGCTACAGAAATATTTACAACTATTAATTTCAGATGCACAGTAAACCGACAGGTTACTAACTCAAAAACCAGACCCAGACGTACAATAATTACACAGTCCCTAATTCTGCAGAGAATTGGACATTGTGTTGGTTAGTGAGAGAATATTAAATTCAAACTTCTGAATAATGTAGTTTTTCTCTCCTCATGAGTAATTCCTATTATGTGGTTCAGTCTTGAAATGTGGTCCCACCAAGTCCACGGGCAAATTAAGGTAACTACTCAGTTATGACTGTTAAGTTTATTGTTATTTTTCCAAAATTGACTAAGTTAGAATATTCCTAGCACAGCACATGTCTACAGGAATTCCTAAACCAGCACAAGCAGTGATAGCATTGTTTGACTCACCTGTTGCATTGCTCCAACATGCCACCATCTGACAGAAGGTGCATGGCTCCTTGACTGTTGATACTTCATGCTGAACCATTTTCCTTGGCAGCCTGTGTCAGTGGTGTTTTGCCATTACTTTCCGCTTTCAGGGGCAGGCTGAGGAGGAAAGACCCAAGTCTACCTCAGCTGAAACTGGAACCGAACTTGGTCTGCCTGTAGCAAAGGAAACTGCCATCCTTACCTGGTCTGGCCTACATGTGACTCCAGACCCACAGCAATGTGGTTGACACTTAACTGCCCTCTAGGCAATTAGGGATGGGCAATAAATGCTGCCTGGCCAGTAATGCTGTCATCCCATGAATGAATAAAGAAAAAACAAGGCACTAATCTGTACCATGCACTAGCCATCTTGTCACTTTGAAATTGTATCGTAGGCAGATACACAGTCTGTGCTACTCATGAACATTTTTACTTTCTTTAAAGTAGTAGTAGAGCGTGCATAACTGGTGTGACCTGATTCTCTGCACCGATAAGCATGACCTTTTGGCAAACAGTACTAAATGTCCTTGTTAGAAACAGAACTGAGAAGGACATTTCTGAAGAAGGGTCTAGGCCTGAAACGTCAGCCTTCCTGCTCTTCTGATGCTGCTTGGCCTGCTGTGTTCATCCAGCCCTACACCTTGTATATCTGAGAAGGACATATATTTAGTCCCCAGAAAACTTCACTCACCTCGGTACCAACATTTCTCAATACAGTAGGTGAACAGATTGAAAAAGCCATGAAAGCGTGAAGCTAGAAATTAAAAAGCAGCATAAGAGCAATGATAATTCTAGCCTGACATTTACTTGATATACCAAATTCAGTTCCAGAATTTATCATGATGGTAAATGAACTCAGCCTCAGAGTTGGCAAACGGTAGCATAATAAAACTTTAAACTCTGTTATGTAACAACTGGAATTAGTTTGCATTGGTACATTCAGATGCCAGGTGAATCAACCTTGGCAAACAGTTTATCGCAATGAGTGCAAGCATTCATTTGTTTGGATAATTCCCTTGAACAAAGTAAATAGTTGTGGGTTGTCACTGAGCTCTTCTGTATTCTTTATTCATTTCTTGTTTCTTTGAGTTTTAACCATAGTCCAGCTAATAACTGATATTTACTGAGTCTCCAAATTCATTTTTTTCTTTGTAAGTAGTTCTCTCTCCCCACTCTCGCTTCACCCGTCCAGTCCCAGTTTTCTTCCGACATATAAAAAACAACTTTGCTTTGTGGATTTTTTTTTTAAGCAAAGTCTAACTGATCAGTGTTTAGTCAGAACCTGAATCCAAACCCGTATTCCAAAAGTGAAAGAAATGCAATGTTGTGACATGCACTGCTGGCTACAGCAAACTAAACAACTATCTTCAATGTAAAATTTATTTAATGCTTCATTCTATTGTAACTTTTTTTTTAAAATAAAAGTAAAAGTCACATCAATAGATTACTTCCTAGCAGTCCAAAGCATTTATTGAGTTTTGTTTTTGCTGAATTTGCTCAGCATTTTTAAATTGCATTATTTTAATATTTACATTTGATCAAGATTATTACATTTATTTTAGGAAGCAAAGGAGTATGTTAGAAATCTGGCAAATAAAAAAAGAAAGTTTAATTCAATAGAAGTTGTACATAGTCTGAAAGTCCCGGGTGCAGTCAGTATGGAGATTTGATCTGTCTAATCTAAAAGCAGTTCAGTAAGAACTGTGTACGGTCAGACAGTTGGTGGGAGGATTGAGTGCGAAAGTTGGAGTGAAAGCTTATGTTATACACTACTATACGAACACGCAACTGTATAGAGAGGCAGTAACATCATGGTAGTTTCAGTGTCTTGGCAATCCAGAATGTCCTAGCACTTACATTTGAATTCAATAAAAACCTGACCTAATAATGACCATGTAACCATTGTCGATTATCGTGAAACCCAACTGTTTCACTCGTCTCCTTTGGGGAAGGTAACTGCCTTCCTTACCAGTTCCAGCCTGCATATGACTGCAGATCCACAACTGCCTCTGGACATTAAATGTTATGCCTACATCCCATAAAGAGTGTGTGTTTTTTTTTTAATTTGGTTAATATTTGAATTCACATTTGGATTGTGAAAATAACGACATCTGACTGCCTTTGCCTTTGTTTACATAGTTAACTGTCTCTTATGCTGAGACAAATTCAAAGACCAAAATTTGGATCTTGCTTTCAGATGATCTGAACCCAGGAATGCCAGTGTTAAACATAAAAACCAGGAGCAGGAATAGGCCATTCGGCCCTTAGAGCATGTTCAATAATACAGCATAATTATGACTGATCCTCTATACCACTGTCGCATTCCTGCTTTGTCCCCATGGGCCTTGATGCCTTCAAAATCTTAAATATTTATCAGTCTTTCTTGAATATATTCAGTGACTTGAACTCCACAACCTTTCTGTTGCAGAAAATTCCATAGGCACACTACCCTTTGTCCTTCCTCGTCTCAGTCCGAAATGGTCTGCCTTGTTCTCTGAGATGGTGTCACTCGGTTCTAGATTCTGCAGCCAGGGAAAGCATCCTCCCTTCATCTCATTTATAATAGCCTTGTTTGAATTTTCTACATTTCAATCTGATCTCCTCTCATCCTCTAAACTCCAGCAAATGCAGTTGAACTAATCTCTGCTCATAGGACTGTCCACCCATCCAGGCATCAGCCTAGAGAACCTCTGCTGCACTCCCTACAAAGCGAATACAATTTCTTAGGTAGGGGGATCAAAACTGCTCACAATATACCTGATGTGGTCCTACCCAAGCCCTGTATAACTACAGTAAAAAGTCCCCCTTCTGAACATAAAGGCCAGTATACCATTTGCCTTTCTGATTGCTTTCTGCACCTACCTATCAACTTGTATTGAATGATATACTGACACACCCAGATCCCTTTCTACATCTGCATTTCTCAATATATCACCACTTGAAAATGCATTTCCTTTCTGAAGAAAACAGACTTTATCAGAGATTCGCCAATGCTTACACAATAAGTGCTTCGCATTCAAAAGCAGTGAATTACAATGAAAAAACAACTAAAGCAAATGTTTTGTGACTCGTCATCATTGAAGTGAAGCAGAGCAGATGGTGTGTCTTTGGACACTACATGTTCATTAACTGTTAAAAGTTGTTTTTAATTTTTCTGAAGATTACTAACTGTACACATTGTATTTGAACCAGATTCACTTGTTTGATATTGATGTACCTGGGAAAATCTGTTTCCGGGAATCTAAGACACTTTCTCCTGGGAACACGTTATGCACCTTTGATACACGTAAGTAAAAACACAAGCCTGTTGAACATGTGATTCTGTACAATGGCTGGACATTATTATATACATAAGTTCTTTATTGTTAAATGAGAAACAGTACCACTTGTACTGTAGTTGCTTTGTGTAAGATGCAAGTTAACATTTATTATTTTTCACGTAGGGATTTTCAATTAGATTATTAGCTGGAAATAGAGATGGGCCAGCTACCTGTAAAGTGGAAAGAAACTGGATGCTGAGCAAATCAGAGTTTATGCATTTTTTTTTTAATAGACATAGGTGGATACCTAATTATTAGCCACAAGAGTTATAGAGATATACAGCACGGAAACAGACACTTCAGTCCATCTTGTCCATGCGGACCAGATATCCTAAATAAATCTAGTCTCATTTGCCAGCATTTGTCTCATATTCCTCTGAACCCTTTCCATTCACATACCCATCCAGATGCCTTTTAAATATTGTAATTGTACCCAGCTCCACCACTTCCTCCAGCACGCACCACCCTCTGATTGAAAATGTTGTCCCTTAAGTCCATTTTAAATCTTTCCCCTCTCATGTTAAACCTATGTTTTGGGCTCCCCCTACCTGGGTAAAGACCTTGTTTATTTACCGTATCCATGCCCCTCATGATTTTATATACCTCAATATCAGGTCACCTCTCAGCCTCCAATGAAAATAGCTCCAGCCTATTCAACCTGTCCTTTATAGCTCAAACCTTCCAGCCTTGGCAACATCCTTGTAAATCTTTTTTTTAAACCCTTTCAAGTTTCACAACATCTTTCCTATAGCAGGGAGACTAGAACCGAACACTGTATTCCAAAAGTGGCCTGACCAATGTCTTGTACAGCCGCAACCTCCCACCTCCTATAGTCAATGCACTGACTAATAAAGGCAAACAAAACAAATACCTTCTTCACTATCTTATCTACCTACGACTCCACTTTCAAGGAACAATGAACCTGCACTCCAAGGTCTCTTTGTTCAGCAACACTTCCTAGGACTTTACCATTAAGTGTACAAGTCCTGCCCTGATTTGCCTTTCCAAAATGCAGTACCTCACATTTATCTAAATTAAACTCCATCTGCCACTCCTTCACCTATTGGCCCATCTGATCAAGATCCTGTTGTACTCGGAGATAACTTTCTTTGCTGTCCACTACACCTTCAATTGTGGTGTCATCTGCAAACTTGCGAACCATACCTCCTACGTTCACATCCAAATCCTTTGTATAAATGACGAAAAACAGTGGACCCAATACTAATCCTTGTGGCACACTGCTACTCACAGGCCTCCAGTCTGAAAAGCAACCCTCCACCACCATCAGTCTGTCTTCTACCTTTGAGCCAGTTCTGTGTCCAAACGGGTAGTTCTCCTAATATTCCATGTGATCTAACCCTGCTAACCAGTCTACCGTGAAGAACGCCTTACTGAAGTCCATATCGATCATATCCACCACTGCCCTCATCAATCCTGTTCATTACTTCTTCAAAAAAACTCAGTCAAGTTAATGAGACACAATTTCCCATGCACAAAGCCATGTTGACTGTCCCTAATCAGTCGGTCAACTGTCTATCTTGTGAAAAAAATCATGAAAGCTATGTGGCGAGACAGGTTTTTTTTTAAAAGAACAGATTTGTTTAATTGTTCAATATTTCAATTGTACAAATGGTTTTCAGTTTGATTTATCTATATAGATATACTCCTTGTGAGCTGTTGACAGGGAAAGCATTTCATATCTCCTTTTCAATTCTAGTTATTGGCAAAGAATTGGGATTCCTGTTCAATGTCAATTCCTTTTGCAATATAACAGTCAACTTGCAACATTGTGACATTTGTCTGATCCATTCTTTCTTCCCCGTCTAAAAGCAGTGGAACTGCCATCCTCCTGGTGTGGAGTACCATCACAAAACAGGAGTGCTCAGATATTATGCACATTTGGAAACCATAGTTCAAATTAAACCAGGCTCTACAGGACAGTGTCAGTTGGCAGAATGTTACTAGGAGATGTACAACAATGACTTGGCATTATTTGCTCAGTATTTTGTTTCCACCCACCTTTCCTCTTACATCCACTTTGTTTCGCTGAAGCAGGCAGATTAGTAATAGTTTGAGAGACACTAGAAACTTGCGGTGTGGAAAATTAACTATGAACTTGTGGATTTTTATACATACATAAGGTGTTTATAATGTCCTTGTGCAACTTCTGAACTGTAAACTTTGGATGTGCGCATGATAGAAGCAAACTGTAAAAGACATAAGAAAGCACATTGCTGTTAAAGCTGTTTTTGCTTTTTTCTTGCTTCCTTCATTTCAGACGTTGACATTGAAATTATGAAGGTAGAAAGTGAACTGTTTTGTTAGAAAAATCAAAGTACATGATGTTACAAACTATGAATTATGCTTTCATTTACCATTTAAAGTTGGACTGGAATAGTTTGGGATGTACTCAGACTTTATAAATACCACATTTTGATGTGTGTATATACACAATGAATATGTTCTAAATAACAGCTTGATCACAACTTGAGTCGTAATTTTATCTTGTACCTTCTTTGCAGCCTATTGCAAGGTTGGGATTGGGATTTGTTATGATATGAGGTTTGCAGAACTTGCTCAGATTTACGCAAAAAGAGGTAAGTAAATAGACTAATGATATTGTAGAATGAAAAAGCTAATAGATGTCCGGATGTTCACTTTCCCACTATGGTGCTGCATTGTGTGAGGTGTTTTTTTTTAGATGAGATGTTAAATTGAAGCCTTGACAGACCTCTCATCCCGAATCACAGAATTGTTACAGTGCAGAATGAGTCCATTTGGCCCATCCTGCCTGCACCAGTTGTATTACTCAGAGCCAATCGTCGGTCTTTTTCCCCATATCCCGGCACACCATTTCTATCCAAATAATCATCCAACCCCTCTTAAATGCTTCAGTTGAACTTGCCTCCGCCACATTTCCAGGCAGCACGTTCCATGCCCCAACTATTTGCTTTTATTCTTAATTTACAGATATAAAAGATCCTGTGACATTGTTTAAAAAACAGAGCTCCTCGTGTACTAGAAAATATTTATCCCTCAACTAAAAAATCTTAAATCATGATGCAGTCATTGTTATTTGTTGGTCTTTCACATGTACAACAGATTGTCATATTTCCCTCAGTGACTACACTTCAAAAATATCATATTAACTTTGAAACTCTTTGGGAAAGCCTGAAGACTTGAAAGCATTTTAGTTCTTTCTTTCTAAGATTGATCACAGACTTGAGCCCCTCTCAGAGCATTTATTTCATAATGCTGTTAAAATTGCTGTAAGACACTAAGCTCTTCATATTGTGGAAACTACTCTTATAAAGACAGGGCAGATACCATAGACAACTGTTCAGATTAACATTTGCATTCATGTATTTATTCAGTTTTATTTCTGACCAGTTTGCCTGATGTGGGGAAGTCCGTACAAACCGATAACCATACTTGTGGATTTATGCTCAGTTAGAAGAGATGAGGGTCCTTGTTATCCGCAACAGGGTTAGAAGGGCTGCCCAGGGCAGCATTTGTATTTCCGTGTAGCGACACGAGTGAAAGCCAACTGTTTGTCCTGCTCTGAGTATGGTATGGAGAATGCATCAAGATAGGAAGTGGTGGACAAAGGCCCTGTATCACTTCCTGATTCAAGTGGTGTTCTTTTTCCCTTCTTTGGTAGCATCTGATGCTTGATTGGCTTTAAATCTTGTTATGGTTACCAGAGTTGTCAGATTTTAACAAAAGTAGTGTGGGTCAGATAATGTTTTTAAAGTAATTAAAAGAAAAATCAAGTTTTTGATTTAACAAGGTGTCGAGCTGGATGAACATAGCAGGCCAGGCAGCATCAGAGGAGCAGGAAAGCTGACATTTTAGGTCTAGACCCTTCTTCAGAAATTTCTGAAGGGTCCAGACCCGAAACATCAGCTTTCCTGCTCCTCTGATGCTGCCTGGCCTGCGGTGTTCATCCAGCTCGACACCTTGTTATCTCATTCTCCAGCAATCGGCAGTTCCTACTATCTCATCAAATTTTTGATGTTCTCCACAGGCTGTCAACTTCTGGTTTATCCAGGAGCATTTAACATGACAACAGGACCAGCCCATTGGGAGCTCCTGCAAAGGGCAAGGTGAGTGGCCAATATATTTTGTAGATAGTTTAATTTTTAAACAAGCTTGAACCAGTTGTAAATCTGGAAAGGTAGTAAATGACAGATTTAAAGACTCATTTAAACGTGTTCCCTGAACAGTGCAAAGTGATCAAGGTAAGAAAAATCATTAGTGTCAACAGTTATACTTAATTTGGAGATCATATTGTTCAAAGTATTCCACACTTAATGAATGACAGATTTACATGATGTTCTCATTTTGGATTCAGAGTTTGGTTAGTACAAGCTTTTTTTTTGAAAAAAACACTGAATCAGAATCGAATGTGTTAAAAAATGGAAGGTTCATCAGCATGTTCAAAGTTGAAGGGTAGATTAACCTCTTTATATATAAAATCTCAAAACTGAGCAGTGAAGAATCCTATTGAAATGGACAGTATACATGGTTTGAAGAAATAGAGGTGATTCTGGGGAGAAGACACTGAGGATATACTAAGATGGGTAACTGGAATGGAGATCTATAATTAAAGCCTTAAGACTGCTGGTATTTCAATTTCTTTACAAGTCATGGGCAACACTGGCAAACGTTTTCCTATTTTTCCAGGAAGATGAATCCATTGATAAATCTTCATGCATTCCTAATCCTCCCATCAAGTGGGTGGGGCTGAGGGAGTTTCCAAGTTGTTCATAAGCCTTAGCATAATTACTTTTTAAAGAGTTCTCTGCCCGATTCACAACACTGTGACCCCCACAGTGGGGAAGGGCAAGGAGAAAGATCCTGAATCCACTCCAACAGGTATCAGACCCTGGACTCTTGGCACCAATTTGATGCACACCAGTCATCAGCTAGCTGGACCCAGACCCTCTCCAGGAGTCTGAGTTGCTGTGACAACATATGCTTGCTTGTTGTAGCCTGGAACCACAATAGTGGTCATACAGGCTCCAACTTCTTTCCATCACATAACTGGTTAGAAATCTTCCTCGCTCTTATCACTTGCTATTGGCTTATGTTGGAGCAGTTACAAGTGGTTACTGAACCTGTTGTTATGAATACACTTTCCTTGACCATTAAGTTCTGGAGTGGTTATGAAACCCAGAACTTCTGGTTCAGAGGCAGGGATGCTATCTACTCCCCACCCTAACCAACACCAGCCAAAAAAGATCCTGCAGCAAGTGATTAGCAACCTAGGGGTGGAAAGCAGGGAAATAAAATGAAATACTCTTGATGGCCTGTTAGAGCTGGGGAGTAATTTTGAATGCCACAACCTGTCCTGAACTGTACCATGCCTGTATCATCTTCCTTTGTGGCTAAGTAATTTGCGATGCACCTTCTTTGTGTGGTATGCCCACCTTGGATATACCATAAAAGAACCCTTATCATTTTGAAGTAGTGTCTGCTCCTCAGAAACGTGGTTGGAGGTATCTCTGGTTTTATTTCTACATTATCTGTTGAGTCATTAAATATACATTTTAGAGGATTTAAAAATAATGTAGACATTTGCTGTAAAATATGTACAGTATATTGAAAAGAAACAAGGCTTGTTAAATTGGTTGTTCATCTGTTTGCAGGGCTGTTGATAATCAGGTGTATGTAGCAACAGTTTCACCAGCACGAAATGAGAATGATTCCTATGTGGCCTGGGGTCACAGCAGTGTAGTAAACCCATGGTATGTATTTCACAAGCTAATTGCAGATATAGAAAGTTGTTTGGTTAGTTTCAACTCATCTGTTCCATAAATTACCACCCATTGCTGTATCTACTGTGGTTTCATCAGGGTTCCAGTTGCCTCCATTATCATTTTAAAATTTTTCCCTCTCAAAAATTGCTTTAGAAAAATACTTTTGTTGGCTGACCACCTAATCGCATTCCTTTACGTACATCTGTTTCTCTTCTTTCCAGGGGTGAAGTTGTAACCAAGGCTGGTCATACCGAGACTATTGTTTATGCAGATATAGGTGAGATTCTCGAACCCTGCAAAAACTTTGATAAGCTTTTTTTCATACCTAATGTGTAATTATGGGAGTTTACGCCTTTTCCTTTATTGCTTTTCTTCCCCAAATTTTTAACCTGATCAGTGAAAGGCTCACTTTGTTGCCACTGTGCTTGGGTTTGATGTGAGAGAAATGGACCAGTTTTTAATCCCTTTTTCATTCTTTTGCACACATTCTTTTGGCTGTCCAGTAGGTATTAATTCAAACGGTGTGGCTTAGATTTTCCTGTCTCATACATGGTCTTGTTTCTTAATTCTTTTTAGTTACAGACTATAAATACATAGTCAGAATGCTACTTTATTTCTAACTACACGTGTTCCAAAAGCATTCAGTTATATATTTACATTTTATACGGTATCACAATACTTAGGGCTGAAATTCAATTCCATCTTGAAATCCCTCAACTTCCAGAGAGGTCCCTAGAATGTGGCCTGCCAAATAGAAACAATTTTTCAGGACATGTACCAGATTCAGTAATTTAAGATTGTAATTAATCTTTTACAATATCATTGTTGTACTACTGGCAATGTTAAAATGGCCAGCACTGTTCATATTAATTTCTCTGAAGTGGATAAATAATCAATTCTTGTATATGAGGAAAACATTTTTTCAAAAGAAAAATCTGATCGTTACGTTCAGAAAGACACTATTAGTTCCTGAAAAACAGACGCTATGTTGAAATTTTGTGTTTTCAATTTTTTTTCTGAACAGATTTGAATTATCTTGCGGACATTCGTGAACAGATACCAATTCTAAAGCAGAAACGACATGATCTTTATAATGTGCAGGCAATGCAAGATTAAGAATCACAGCTTTAAGACTGTACTCCTTCAAGTAGAAACAGTGGGTGAAATACAAATCTTCCAATCACCTCACCAATTTGTTAATGAATCTGAAATGCTTCAGATTTAAGACTGTAGGTGCACAAAACATCAGATTCTCTTGCTTAGAATTATGAATTATTAGCAGTAATTCGTAATAAAATCTTCAGTTTCTAAATGGCAAATCACTGTTTAAATGTCATATGAATTTAAAAGTACAATTTATACTTTGTATAAAATTTTGCACTCTTATAGAGTATGTTGATACCAAATTGTAGGTTCTGAGGGGCTTTTACACTAGTCGCGATGGGGATTCATATCAGTAAAAAGAATATTTGTCAAGATTTCTAAGGACTTCAATGTGTGCAACCCTTTTCTATTGCTGTCCTAAGATGAGGATTTATGGATCCATAAGCACTTGCAGTCCTGCTCATCACAGATGAATAATTACCAAAAGGATATTTCACAAATGGCTACACTTCAAAAGTACTTTGTTGCCTTTAAAGCACTTTGGGGTATCCTGGAGTCATGAAGTACTGTTATATAGACACGCATTTTAAAAAAAAAAGTAAAGGCCACGCCAATCATTATTTTCATGTTGACACTTTCACACTTTAAGATTGGTGACTGATCAGAAGGACATCTGACTGATACTTGGTAGTTAGTGGATACAAAGACTAATTAATATACTGTGGTGTTCTAACAAAAAGAGCTAGAATCTTCCTGCTCTGTATAATTTGGAAAGAAAGTTCAGAGTGGAGGAGGCAAAGTAATTTTACTGAAACAATAAACTGAAAAATGAAGTTCAAGTGGTTTATTGTCATCTAAATATGGAAATCTGGTTCTTTTCATAAGCAGTTTAAGAAAGTCCTGGACCGTGTTCAAGCATGACAATATTTATACAAACAATTTTACAAGGAGAGAAGTACTAAATCATGATAAAAACTGGTGTGTGGAGTGTGCTATGTCAAGTTAAGGCCTGAAATGGTATTGTGTACAATAGCAATTTATAAAATAAATTTGTGCAGTAAATCACGAGACACAGTGGTCGGTTGCTGCAAGAGGTGCAATCAAATTTTGTAGCTAGATTGGCTGAATGGTCTTCCCCAATATGTATTCACCCAAACAACTACTCGATTGTTAATTGGCTGCAGCTATGTTCATCAATATTTGTCAGTGTGAAGGACATCTTCTCTTCACTGAACTGTTTGACCGTGGAACAGTGGACTTCCAGAATCCCTCCATACCAATGGGTGCGGTGTGACAGATGTTCCTATAGCCTAAACCAGTGAGGTCCCCATTAAAAGGTGCCATTGGTATTTGTCAAATGATCAATGGTATTGAATTCCTACTGCTGAATATAGAGTATTGATCACCCAGTTTGGATACTGTATTTTAAGATTTTTTATAAAAAGCCAAATCTTGTTATTTGGTTCTTATTTCAGTGCAGCAAGAGGGGTTGATTGTGAGTGAGCAACTGGTGAGCTATTCTATTTATACAAGCTTGCAAAATTAAAAGGAACGTAGGGCAGCTCCGCTGTTTGAAATGCATGGCCCATAGCCTGTGGGGAGATCAAGGACGTTAGTCAAACACATCTGCAGGAAGTGTCACCAGCTGCACAATCTCAGACTCCAGGTTTCAGAACTTAGTGAAGGCTGGAGTCCATGTGAGGCAGAGCACAATATTGATAGCAGGCTCAGGGAGGTTTGGAGCATGCAGGCAGATAGGGGATGGGTGACTGCCAGGCTCTGGGCCTTTGTGCAGGAGCTCAGAGCTGATCGGTTTTCTGTTTTGGATAGAGGTGAGGGTGATGTTTCTTTAGATGAGTGCAGTCAGTGCTAAGTCTATGGCCCCGTGGGTGGTGGAAGGGGTTTTGTTAGTTAGGGTGCTATTGGAGAGGATTTTATACTATATTGGCAATGGATGGGAACCCGAGAGCTCAGATTAGATGAAAGCAAAGCAGTAGACAGAAGCAGAAAAGTAGTAAGCAAACTTAGAAATAGACAAAGCAAAGGCAAGTATCAAATAGGATGCACAAATGGCATTCAGAACAAGGTTGTTTTGAAAGCACAAATTGAGGTAAATGGGTATGATTCAATTGCTATTACAGAAAAAGAGCTACAGGGTGACCAAAATTACCGTGAGCGTTTAAAAGATATTCAGCATTTAGGAAAAAGATAGGCAAAAAGGAAGAAGTAGAGAAGTTCTCCTAATAAAAGGAACAAGATCAGTAAATTAGGAAGAGAGGATCTTGGACTGAAGGATCAAGATGTTGAATTAATTGGGTGGTGCTAAAAAAAGTGGCAAGGAGCAGCAAACATTGGTAAGGGTTGTTTATAGACCACTGACCAATCATCATGCTGTTTGCAAAGGTATAGATATGGAAAATGCAGGTGCGTGTAATAGTGGTACAGCAACAGGAAACCTCAATTTACATCTTTACATGTAGATTGGAAAAAATCTTAATCAGCACTAATGCTGTGGAGGATGGAATCCTGGAGTGTGTACAAGATGAATGTCTGGAGAAGTATGTTGAAGGACCAACTAAGGATCAGATTATTTTAAATGTTATGATGATCTTAGTGAATGCTATTCAGGTAAGTCAGATCCCAGACAGGAACTTAACCAGAGATATATTTTTACTTGTATTGGTTTTGAAGAAGTGAACACTCACTGAATTATGAGCATGTGTTGCTGCAAGTTTTGTTCCACAACTTAAATGCCAATAAAATAGAAAATTCCAAACTATCCATTAACATATAAATTTAAAGTTTTTTAATGTATTATCCCATTAATTCCAAAACATTCCTACATAAATTGAAAAGAAACAATACAGTATTGAATGCTACCCAAAACACAACTCAACATACAAAACGTCAACCTTCCTGCTCCTCTGGTGCTGCTTGGCCTGCTGTGTTCATCCAGCTGTACACCTTGTTATCTCAGACTCCAGCAGCGGCAGTTCCTACTATCTCATACAATACTTACATCAGCGTTCCTGTATCCAGCACTCAATAGCACAAGTCTCTTGTGTCTTCAGTTTATAAATTGGAACTACAGATTTATTCTTCCTGCAGCTATCAAACACCTGCTTAAAGTGTACTCATCTTTAAGTAACCTTTTCAGGTTTTATCCCAACACTTCTGATTTGTAACTTACTTCCAAGATAAACATAATTTGTTATCTTGATCATTCCCTTCTCAGAATTACTGCTCTTTATAGCCATCTTGTTCAAAGGTCTTCACAGGAATAACCCATTCAAACTCAAAAGGTAAAACTAAAAAAGTTTCTCTCAGTCAACTATGAACAATTCCCTTAAGCTCAGAAGAGAGGTTTCAGAACTCTAACAAACCTTGAGGTCCCATTATTTACTGTTCTGGGTTCAAAAACAATTTAAACAAAACTTCATTAGTACTGTACAAAACCCATTCATGCATTCTAAAACCAGGCTTCAAACTGTTTTTAAAAGAAATCACAATGGATACAGATGAACTCAAGTTAATTATGCAATTAAGATGATCAAAAAATCCACCAGTTATAAAACTCAAAAACCAGAAACCTGAAGTGATCAAATAACAAAAAATTGTACATCTAAATCTCAGTTTACATCACAACTTAGTACACTTGTAGGGCCTCATTGTTAAATTGGCCTATCCTCTGTTGCATCCAAGATATTTTGTGTTTAAGTGCTGCATGATTCACAAACTCAATAGGAGCAGGGTTAAAACACCTTCTGGTCCCTTGAGTATGCTCTCCTTTTTATCACAATCAATCAACTGTCTTAACCTGCATTCTCAACTAATCCCATTACTCTTGATTTCCTAAGGAACCAACAAATCTATCTATCATAACTTTAAACATATTCAATATATAGAGTATCCATGAGACTCTGGAAATGGAAAATCCCAAAGACTTGCAAACCACTAAGTAAAGAAATCTCTTAGACTCCCTACAGTGCGGAAACAGACCCTTTGGCTCAACAAGTCCACGCTGAATCTCCGCATCCCACTGAGACCCATCCCTCTGTAACTCCTAATCTACATGTCCTTGAACACTATGGGCAATTTAGCACAGCCAATCCACCTAGCCTACACATCTTTGGACTGTGGGAGGAAACGAACACCCAGAGGAAGCCCATGCAGATACAGGGAGATTGTGCAAATTCCAAACAATTGCCCAAGAGTGGAATTGAACCCAGGCCCTTTATGCTGTGAGGCTGCAGTGCTAACCACTGAGCCACTGTGCCACCCCCAAATCTCTCCTTGCCTAAGTCTTAGCTCTTATTCTGTGACTGTGGCAGAAGACAGGAAGTTATAGGCCAGTTGGCTTGACCTCAGTCATCAGTAAGATTTTAGAGCCATTATTAAGGATGAGATTACAAGTACTTGGCAGTGCATGGTAAAATATGCATGACTCAGCTTCATCAAGGGGAGGTCATGCCTGACAAATCTGTTAGAATTTTTTGATGAGGCAATGAACTAGTTAGACTCAGGAGAGCCAGTGGACATGTTCCATTTTGATTTTCAGAAGGCTTTTGATAAAGGGCTGCATAGAAGAGTGCTAAATACAATAAGAGCCCATGGTGTTAGGGGCAAGGTGCTGGCTTGGTAGGGGGTGGGGTCCTGGCAGAAGGCAGAGAGGATGGACAAGGGGTCTTTTCAGAATGGCAGCCAATGACTAGTGGAGTTCCACAATGTTCAGAGTTGGAACCGATCTGGACCCAAGGAACTGAGAGCATTATTGTTAAGTTTGCAGATGACAAAGATAGGTGGAGGGACAGGTAGTGTTGAGGAAGCAAGGAGGCTGCCGAAGGACTTGGGCAGGCTAGGAGAGTGAGCAAAGAAGTGGCAGAACACAGTGCGGGAAAGAGAGAGGTTATGCATTTTGGTAGGAAGGAGAGAGGCATAGACTGTTTCCTAAATGAGGAAAGGCTTCAGAAATCTGAAGCACAAAGGGACTTGGAAGTCCTGGATCAGAATTTCCTTAAGGTTGATCTGAAATTCAGCTGACAGGAAGACAAATGCAATATTAGCGCTCATTTCAAGAGGTCTAGAATACAAGAGCAGAGATGTACTGCTGAGGCTCTGGTGAGACTGCTTTTTTTTAAAATTCATTTTTGAGATGTGGGTGTTGCTGGCTGGTCAGCATTTATTACCCATCCCTTGTTGCCCTTGAGAAGGTGGTGGGGAGTTGCCTTCTTGAACCGCTGCAGTCTACCTGCTGTAGGTTAAACCACAATGCTATTGGGGAGGGAATTCTAGGATTTTCACCCAGTGACAGTGAAGGAATAGCAATATATTTCTATGTCAGGATAGTGAGTGGCTTCAAGGGAACACAAACGTGGTGGTGGGCCCATATATCCGCTGCCATTGACCTTCGAGATGGAATTGGTCATGGGTTTGGAAGGTGCTGTCTCGGAGAATCTTTGGTAAATTTCTGCAGTGCATTTTGTAGATAGTACACACTGCTGCTACTGAACATCGGTGGTGGAGGGAGTGATGCTTGTGGATGTAGTGCTAATAAAGTGTGTTGCTTTGTCCTGGATGGTGTGAAGCTTCTGGAGTGTTTTTGGGCCTGCACTCATCCAGGCAAGTGGGGAGTATTCCATCACACTCCTGACTTGTGCCTTGTAGATGGTGGGCAGGCTTTGAGGAGTCAGGAGGCAAGTTACTCATCGCAGTATTCCTAGCTTCTGGCCTGCTCTTGTAGCCACTGTGTTTATGTGGTGAGTCCAGTTGAGTTTCTGATGAATGATAATCCCCAGGATGTTGATAGTGGGGAATTCAGTGCTGGTAACACCATTGAATG